AATGATGGTGCCAACTTGGGCCAGTGAAGCAACATCCTCCACAACTAGACTGAAGAACAAAAGGACAGCAACTTGTCTGTTCCCCTTCCCCCAATTCCCCTGCACTGTTCCCCTCCCCCCAATACCCCAATAAAAATCTTAAAAAAAAAAAATAGGAAGAATGGATTGAAGGGAGGTGAGAATTGAGATAAATCCTCCTTTATTCTCATTTTCTGCTTCAACATCAAATATGCTCATCTGGAAAAACAAAAAACAAACAAAATAAAACGTCCCTATTGGAAACTTCAGCTGCTAAATGGATTAAGCTGGGAACCAGCCTCGGGAGACTGGGAGTGCCCTGTGGCTCGCAGAGCTCCCCTGGGCCCCTTCCCGGGCGCACCAAGAAACACTTTCTACATACTCCCCTCTGTGGTCTAGAATGGCTGCTGGAGGCGGGTTAAAATGACATTTCATCAGAGGACACATAAAACCCCTTTTATCAATTCTAAAGTTCTGAATGTTCACTTTTATAAAGAATTTCTGGAGTTTTAGAAGCATTATAGGGCAACCGCTCCCTTACCTAGTGGTCCTCAAGCAGCCTCAACTATCCTTAGACCAGGGAGCACCTGACAATTGAACAGTGTAGCTAATATATTAACTTCATACTCTCCTACCATAGAGGAGCAGCTGTGAAAATCTCGAAAAGCACAGACATCCAGACCATTTAGCTTGGGGGTAAGCATAAACTGAAGGTCTACGATTATAACAGAAATTATTGGTTAACTTGAATTTACCAAGGCAGCTTTTTACTCAACAAGGAAAAGTTGATCTCACTTGAGAAAAAGCTTTAAAAAAAAAAAATGCATTGCAGTTTAGCTATCTGGAAAATCAACTTATTTGGAACTCTTGATCAAACAAGATGGATAAATGAAGAATTGTTCTACCTACAAAGTTATCAGGTGAAGTTGTTAAGAGTCAAAGTAGTATGCTAAATGTATTATCAACAAAAACACTAACAGATCCATCTACCACAAAAAAAGGCAAAGCGCTATTAGCCCTAACCCAACCACAAGAGAAGACCAAATGGACTTAAAAAAAACTTTATTCCAAAAAGAATTACCAAAAGTGTGTTAACTCTGAAACATTTAACATTTTTCATTTAAATTCAGTCACAAAACTCAAAATATCAAACAAAAACAGCTTTGTGTGCTTAACCACTTTTAATGAAACTTTAAAAAAGGAAACATGTAGACTGCCCCCCACACAATGTGGGAGCCATTTAGGCAAGCAATATTTAATAGTAAGCCAAAAGACAGCATTAAAAACTAAAATCCTCAAATTTGAAGAGAATGCCTGTTCAAGTCTTTGATATGCATTTATATGCACGAGAATTATGCTAAAAGAAATCAATTCTCTCTTCCAACGTGATCTGTCTCGCCTTCATTTTGACTTGCACACCCCTCCCATTACAGTACTTCATCTACACTGAACCAGTGTTGGTCATGATTGGCTTGCTGTGAAGCGCTCTAGATCCCATTTCATACACCCCGCCTACCACCCATTATTCCCTTCTGTGTCTGCACAGCCTTCTGACTATGACCACTGTCATCAAGCTAGGGAATCTCAGGTCTCCAAAAATGATTATATGTACACAATTGTTTCACTGCACAGTTCACAATATACAGCAGGTGATTATATATAACCAACTATAAGGTAAGATGAATATTGACTACGGAGATGAAAACATCAACTTTGTCTCCAACACAAATGAAACAGACACACCGATTTGCCACCATATTGTTTACTCTGTGGTCCAGTCCTGAGGGCTCATACCACACTTAAGTATGTTCAATACAGAATCCGTAACATCAGACATGAAGTACAGGAGGCAAGCTCAGAGGTGCCCCGCGCCCATGAGGAGTCTGTGTCACATGTGTAACAGAAAGGGCCACTTTTAAAGCTTTTTGAAGTTATTCGATCATGTTTGCCGTTTCAAATTACTGTATTAGTTCACACTAAAGGTAAAAAACAATCGTTAGCATCTCTTACTTATTGATAACACATTTTGACTTGAAGTTCAGACAAAGCTGTTGGTTACAAGTTCTGTTGAATATTTTGTCAAGTTTAAGTCTAGAGGACAACACAAAACCATCCCCAGTATTTGCAGTTTGGTCTTCAAAAGCTGTAAAAAGTGACAAAGAAATCCAAAAATATTACGAGTTAAAATCATTAAAATATTTCTTCTTTGTAAATGCCACGTATTTGAAATAGCAGAAACCGAAGAGGCCTCCTTTGAATTCTCACTTCACTTGTTATTTCATAGACGTGCTTTAGAAGTTAAGATTTCTACCACTTACATGGAGTGTACAGACAAAAGGGAGCCCTGTGGAACTAAAGGCCCATGGAGCCTGTTCCCAAGGCCCGGGCGTGGCCCCCAGGAAGCACATCTTCCCCATTCTGAGCACTAGAGAAGCCCAGGAGTGCTCAGGGACACACGCACGTGAACGAGGGAGTCAGGCATCACCATGCCTGTCATTCGTTTCTGAAAGAGTCACTTCAAATCCTGACTATTTGATAGGCCAAAGGATGCTACTCATATATGGTGACGAATGGTTTTCTAAAATCCTTACATCTGCACCTTGGTTTCTGATGTAAACTGCCATTTCTAGCACAACATTGTCAAACAGAGCTGTTGTAAAGCTCCTGAGCCTGATTACTGCCTGACAAATGCTCGATAGCACTTCCCAACCCTCTCCGGTCAGAAGGATGTTCATCTTATTTGACCAGCCGTACTGCATGTACAAGTAAACATCTTTTTTGGACTATCTGCCCAGAAACTGAGTAAACTACCAATTGAGTCCCTGATTTTATTTTGGTATGCGCACATGTTCATATGCAATTACCCAGTGTGATGAAAAACATAGTAAGAAACCTAACTACTCTGCCATGTCAGGTGCTGGAAAGCAATCTTAACTACATAATATTTACAGATGTAGGTTTTAAAATCACTTTTCTAGGATGTTTCATTATTCAATTGGTGTATGAGTCATTTTGCCTTATTTGGGAAAAATATTTTAAAATCTGATCCTTTGACAAGTAAGTTTTTTTCTGTTGGGTAAGGAATGAGTAAGCTTCTAGAATTTAAAATTAACCCTTCAAATAGCTTTAGATCTTATCCTCTTAAGCTAATTGTTTTAATGATAAAGTGGTAAAACTGGGTTCCCAATATGTAAAAATCCTAATAGAAATCTATTTCCAAGAGTAAAATGAAAAATGACAGCTAATACTGTGGGGGGCAAGCTATCCTGGGTTTTTTTCTTCCCTCCCCTAAAACATATAGAAACCAGAAAAAAAGAAATCTGGACTCTTATTAGACCTCCAAAATAAAACTGTATGGAAGTGTTTTGTTTTCTTTAAAGGAGTTTCAAGAGAATAGGATACCTGAATCAGACAAACTAGTATTCAAAGAAAAAACCCCAAAGCTGTTTGCTAAGTTGGCAACAGTAATTCAAAGAAATTGAGCTACAGAGTTTGATCTGTATGCAATTAATATGAGATTTCTTAACAGGATGAAATGCCTGTAACAAAATTTAACTCTCCCCATCTTTTGGCAATGAAATAAGTGAAATAAACATAAAAATACTTTGGATGGGCTTAAGGTCATATTCAGCAGTAAACACAAATCTTTCAAACCTAGAAAAAAAATTTGGAAGCTTTCATTAGCTGCTTGAGTCTACCACATCTAAATAGAAATAGCTGAAATAATGACTTTCCCCAACAGGTGCTTTGTTTTAAAACGAATGCAAGCAATTTATTATCATGAATAGCCTACACCTATTAAGCTCTTTTCTTCTCTGTTCTGCTCCTTTGCCCTACCGCATATACACTTAAGTTTAGCAAAGACTACCCTTTGCAACTCCTCCTGAGAGCAGAGTAACAAATGGAGTAATAAAAGTAAGCCTGAGAATTCAAGGGGCCCTAAGAGCCTTTTCTCTGGTCATGGCCACTTATGTTTCAATCAGAAGGTTTAAAGACTTTGGGGAAAAAGACTGTCTTGGTTATTAGTTTCCTCATCAAAAGCCATCCATCAGATAGACAGTTATTAACCAGACAATTAGCATAAGTTTTCTGGTAATGAGTAAAAAAAAACCCCTCCCCCCCAAAAAAAACAAACCTTAAATTTTCCAATTGAAATCTTTTGCTCTGAATTTGTTGGAGCTTAAAAAAAACAGCTTTGCCCATAGCTCATTGTGCCCTGGACTTACGACACCAACTTTTATTTGGCCAATTAAGAATGAGGCCAAACTGCATTCTCCTTAGAAGGTCTGGTCAGTTGATGGCAATTAAATCAAGGTTTCTTTCATGTAATCTTTAACAAGAACTCATAAGTTGCATTGATTATGCCCCAAGAGATGAGGGACCGATGGTAATTCAAATGGGCACCTCTGAAAAGATTTGCCAGTTTCCTGTCCCGTTCTAACCAGATTTTTTGGAAAACCTTGGGGAAAGACTGAAATTCCCCACCAATCTGAGACTGCATGCGAGTTTTTACAACATTGACTGGAAAAAACAAGATTCCCAACATGGCACCCAACAAACCCCCGCAGATAAAGTCATTGACCAAGTGAGCACTGTGAGTCGTAGCGGTAGGCAGGTGCTCCTTAATGGGACCCCGAAGGCCAAAAAAAAGGACATTGCTGAATCCGTTTCGGAAAAGAATGGGTATCAAGCCTCGATAATACTCTCCAATTCCATGGCATTTCAGCGCCCTGAAAGCCTGAAAAGTGTTTGTAAATTTGTCATGATGCTTGTGGTCTTGTAGCAACGTTTGAACTCTTTCCAAAGGAGTGAAAATTGCTTCTGTTGTCCCTGCAAGTAATGCTGCCATGCTACGGGTTGCAAACTCTGGGGTACTGAGATGCTTACGGAGAAGGCAAGATAAATCTTCATATAGGCCAAACATAAGCGCCAGTGTAGTTGTCTTCTGCATTAATGGGGGAAGGATTCCTCGATACAAGTTTCGAAATCCATCCCTCCTCAGCTGAAGCACTGCATCCCTGGTTTTGATTCCATACAGCTGTTGCCGGAAAAGGACCTTCTGAATGGGAAACGTGATTGCTACGTTGTTGAAAGCTGCACAGTAGCCACACAAGTAATGCTTCATTTCACCGACATTTGCAATATGAGGTGATAGATCTTGTTTGGAAGATGTTATGATTGGCGACCTCTTTTCATGAGCTTCTGAATCCATCATGTGGCTTAAGATCTTTCTCCTTCATGAAGAATTTTTTTTAAACCTACAAGTGATAAAATGACAATAGGTAAACCTTAAAATACAGTGTTAAACACAAGGATTTTTTCCCCTCTAATCCTTCCTCCAACTTCTAGATATATTACATTATCCCTTTTAGACTAGATCAGTAGTTCTCTAAGTATTTTCAGAGAACGCCTGAAGTCCCTGAGACCCTCTCTGTGGTCCAAGAGGTCTTCTCTTTTCCAACTATTGTACATACTACGTGAGGCTGGACTTTTTGCATGTACTTTAACCAAAACCACTTATAACAACAGACTGAATGCAGAAGCAGATATGAGACCCTACCTATCTTTTAAGCCAGACTTTTAAAGCGAATTGCAAAACTGTAAAACATTCTTCTCAATAATTTTTTGAAAAATATTCATTTTTCATGAAGATGTGTTGTCTATGTTAACATATAATGGGTTTATTACTGTTATTTTTAAATGAATTAAGAAATATTTTCAAATTTTGTTTTAATTTCTAAGGCCACATAAATAAAGACTCTGGCATCCATAATAATTTTTTTCTTAAGCAGTAGCAGTTTTATTGCATAAGTGTTAAAAAAAAAAGGCGCAAGAGAAAGCTCTCTGCAGATCCACAGAGAGGAGATTCCAATGAAGTGCCCCACCTCCCATAATAATTTTTAAGTGTAAAGGGGTCTTGAGACCAAAACAATTGAGAACCACTGGACTAGCTCACACTGTGCACAATGCCTGCACTACATAACGGTCTGTATGCCATCATCCTTCTGAAATACATTCACATGAGAAATAAAATAGCAAGACATACATTCAATCATTCTGTTCCTGAACAGCTCCTTAGCCCTGGCTCTGAACTGGGACCTCTGCTAAGTGCTAGAGATTCAAAGACAAAGAATTCCCAGTCTAGGAGACTCTGCCAAGGTAAACAATTACACCACATTACACAATGTAATACCTTCTAGGATAAATACGCGTTGTGGGAACACAGGTAAGGGACACCAAGCATGCAAGCATGCACTCTTGAGAGGTGGAGGCTGGAAGAACAGGGTCAAGGAAGTCCTGCCAGTATGTACTATACACTGTTATTTTCACAGATTTAATTCTCAAAACAACTCCATAAAGTAAACATTTTCCCAGTTTCACAAATAAAAAAACCAATATGCTCATTTTTCCAAGGTACAGTTAGCAACTGGTGGAGCTGGTATCTTGAAAATAAGTGTTACTCCAGGGTTCATGTTCCCACTATTATACCATGACTTTGGGAGGCTGCTGTGACACAAAAAGTGGCTTATAAGATGGTGCTGAAAAAGATTTGGAGCCTAAATATAAAGACTTAGGCCAAAGGCAAAGTCCTACCCCTAGAATACATCTGTTTCATTAAAATGGCAAGATCCGGGCCGGCTGAGTGGCTCAGTTGGTTAAGAGCTCGCTCAAGAGTTTGAGCTCTGAGCAACAGCGGTTCGAGTCAGCCCGAGCTGAGCAGCCGCTGAGCTGCCAACAGGTGGCAGGATGGCTCAGCTAAAAATAAAATAAAATAAAATAAAATAAAATAAAATAAAATGGCAAGATCCTTACTTACCAGTTATCTGAATGTGATTTTCCCCAAAAGGATCCAAATAGTTGGATCATCCAGAACGTTTCCTACAGCCCAGAAATTACATTTGGGGACTACGTGGTAATTTTATATTTTAGATGTATCAGTCTAAATATTTCAAAGTTGGTTTTAATTCTTCAACAGTAAGATGCCACATTTAACTACAACTCAACAACAAAATTAAATAACCCAATTAAAAATGAACAGAGTTTGAATAGACGTTCCTCCAAAGATATACAAATGGTCAAAAAACATTTGAAAAGATGCTCAACATCACATATCATCAGAGAAAATGCAAATCAAAACCACAATGAGGTATCACCTCATACCCATTAAGATGGCTACTATTAATAAAAAAAAAAGTGGTGGTGGGGAGGTAGAGAAGTTGGAACCCTTGTGCACTATTTGGAATGTAAAATGGTGCAAACACTGTGGACAACAGTATGACAGTTCTTCAAAAAATTAAAAGTAGAATTACATGATTCAGCAATTCCACTTTTGAGTATATAATCCAAAAAACTGCAAGCAGGGTCTCAAAGAGAGCTGCACACCCACAGTCGCAGCAGCATTATTCACAATAGCCAACGGGGAAAGCAACCCAAATGCCCACTGATGAACGAATGGATAAACAAAGTGTAGTATAAACATACAACGGAATACTACATGGCCTTAAAAAGGAAGGAAATCCTGTCACATGCTACAACATGGATGGAACCTTGAGGACATTATGCTAAGTGAAACAAGCCAATCATAAAAGGACAAATACTGTATGATTCCACTTGTATGAGCGTTGACTACTTGTAAAGTAGTCAAATTCAGAGACAGAAAATAGAATGGTGGCTGCCAGGGGCTGAAGAGTGGAACAGGGAGCTATGGTTTAATGAGTACAGTCTCAGTTACACAAGATGACAAAGTTCTGGAGATCTGTTTTATGACAATGTAAATACACTTAACGCTGTTGAACTATACAATTTAACACTGGTCAAGGTAACTTTTATTATTATATGTTTTTTACCACACACACACACACAAAAGACTACATGTAAGGGTTTCAATGGTAACTAAAAAAACAAACTAGGTCAGATAATGCACCTAGGTCCTTGACCTATGACAAAACAAACCAAGTTCCTTGTTTTTTTTCTTCCCCATAGCACACACATGCCTCTTAAACTGCTAAGCATTCAGGGCAAAAGATGTTAAAGAGAAGTGTAATTGCTGTGAAGGTCAAGTAAGTGCAGAGCTGAGGCACAAAATCCGAAAGCATCAGTTCCTGAGGAGCCTGTATCTGCAGGAGTCACAGATGCGTAACATAAATTATGGAACACACACATACACAACCATAGTTTTCCTTGTAGGGACATAGCCTAGAAAAATAATTATCCACTCAAGATGTACAGATTCAACCACAGGACAGTCACAACAATGCTCAGAACAGAAACACCGAATAAAATTTAAAAGCTCAACAGTAAGGGACACACTACATAAATAAAGATGTATCCACCTGATGGGATATCATATAGACATTAAAAATAAAGTATTTTTAATATATATTACATTTTTAGAAAAAACTGACACACTAAATATATACATTTTAAAAAGAAAAAATAAAGGTGTAAATCAATCAAATATACAGACATCCTCTCCTCCAGGCTCTCTGCCCCGACTCATGTCTCCATCTCTTGCCCAGCCAGTTCAAAGGCCTCTTTACTAGTCAGCGTGATTCTACTCACACTCACTTCCACCACTCCCTACCCCCACCAACTTAGCCATCATTTTAAAAATACACCAAAAGAACACACTAAGTGAAAAAAGTACAGGGTACAACAATGCATTTTGGAATCTTATAAAATCAGCACAGAGATATGCCAGTGTTTTGAATGGTGGCATAGTATTCTATCAAATGAATGTATTATATATAATTTATTCTATCTATTTATATTTATGGTGAATGTATTATATATAATTTATTCTATCTATTTATATTTATGGTCACTGTTTTGGATTTTTTTTTCCTTTTTTTTTTTCTTTTTTAGCTGAGCCATCCTGCCACCTGTTGGCAGCTCAGCTCCGGCTGGGAATCGAACTGCTGTTGCTCAGAGCTCAAACTCTTGGGTGAGTTCTGAGCCACTCGGCCAGCCCTTTTCTTTTCTTCTTTTAGAAAACAACTGCAGTGGGCAGCCTTGTACCTATACCCTGCTTGGGTGAATTCTCACAAGTTTATCTCTTGGGTAAATCTTTACAACGGGATTGCTGGCTCAAAGAGAAATACGTTTTATTTATTTTTTATTTAAAAAAAATTTTTTTTATTGGGGAATTGGGGGATGGGAACAGACAAGTTGCTGTCCTTTTGTTCTTCAGTCTAGTTGTGGATGTTGCTTCACTGGCCCAAGTTGGC